TGGTATCTATAGTGGTATGGTGTTAGTATAGTAGTATAGACAGTTGTATTGTTTTGGTATATGTTGCTATAAGGGCTAAATTACTTGTTAAGATTAATATGATCTAATATTGTTTCAACTAGAGCCTGTTTCTACTACGGAGCCTGTTTCTACTGACTTACCCAATATAGAATGTAGGTGAATAAATCATATATATATATAGTATTTCTTTTTTTTTATATTAGTATGTATAATGGTATAGTGTTTATACAATAGCAACTAGAGTGGTGGTGTGTTAGTATAGAGGAGTTTTCACTTTTCCTCTCTTAAGACTATGCTGAATCCTTGTTTGGTAAAATGTAAAATTATTCAGTTATATAGAATATCAGAGAGTTCAAGACCACCATGCAACTGTCAATCATTCCAGATTCATAAGTCGATTGTCTCATCTGCCTGCTTCATTTAACTCTGATATTAAATAAACTCTATGCAAAATGGTAAAGGTAGGCAGGTCTGCATATTATATGGTATATAAACCAATAAGGCTGCACTATAAGACCGATAAGTAGCTTACTGGGTAGTGTTACCACCACACAACCTGAGTTTCATGTGGTATCTCTGTGAGTAAAGTTTTGCTGTTTTCTGTTTTAGCCACAAGTCATCCAGCTCAACAGGATTACACAGAGGAACCGGGTAATTTATTTTGTCACTGTTAACTTTTTAATGTGTGTGTGTTGTGTGTAGCCATTTTTCTTAATTTTTCTTCTAATGGATTCCCAGCAAAAACACAATATAGGTGACGTAAACCATGGCAACTTAATTTAATTATAATCTAAAGCATCTTCATGCTATGATTGCTATTAATTTTGGATTTAAAAACTCATTAAATTGAAGTGATTCGATACAAAAGCCAATGATACTGCTGAATACAGATGAGTGAAAACACTCCATAAATGTTTTTTTTTTTCTGAAAGGGAATTCACTTGGTTTATAATGAATCACGCAAGTTTTTTTTTTTCTCCCGCAGCAAGTTATGTCTGTGATTTATTATACCTACAGTGAAACACAGAACTTTTGTTTAGGCTCTTCTTTCCTGTGTAATTCTCTAAACTCTGGTGTGGTTCATGTGACACTACCCCCTAGTCGACACGCTCAGGTTAAATGCAAGTATGGAGACGTGTTAGCATCCTCGCATGACGTCCTGTCCTGCTCCCAGATACACACTCACAGAAGTATAAATCAGCCCTAAGTACAGCAGTGTAGTATCTACAGTGGTATAGTGTTAGTAT